CCTGTACCAACCGATTTCCGGTTAATTTGTAGAGACACTTGGTGTCTGTCTGGATATATAAACGTATCAATAAAGATTACACACCGTGCGCACGTTCCACTAAAAAAAAAAAAATAAAAAAAATAAAGAACAAAATAATTGTGACTGGTAAAAGAATACAAAAAATTCTATTCTATCAGGTTCTAAATTATTTACCATAATATTATATTCTAATGCAACAAATTGTAATACTTTGGAAAAGAGTTCATTACATCCAATATATGTTTTATTAGAAAATATACCAACATGAAGGTGCAATAAACCAGGTGCAAAACAATTATTAGAATATTTGCCAATAATTAAATCAGAAAATATAATGGAAAAAGAATTACAAAATTTTAAATAAAATTGTATGCAAAATCTTTTACAAATATCTGAAAATATTACTTAAGCCATTAATTTCAACAAAAAACAGAATCAATTATTCAATTGAAGGCAAAAACTTTTAATTTATTCCAAAAATATTAATAATTATATCTGATTGGTTTGAAGTTGCAATCTTCTGTTTAACTTATAAATCAAGCAATTCAAATAATCACTGTCATTTTTGCTTAGTTATGAGAGAAAATCTTGTGAAAATAAATTTATCAAAAAAAAAATATAATATCTCAAAATCATAAAAAAATGAAAGAAATATTTCAATCAAATTTAACAAAATCAGTCTCAATAGAAAATATCTATAATTTTTTTGGAGTATTCTGTAAGTTTTTATAATTTTTATAATTAATTTATATATTATAAAATTAAATTAAATTTTATTAATTTATAACAAAATGAATATATATAAAGCAACTGTATCTGATAGAATGCATTATTTTGATTTGGATCTTTTTTAATATCAAATTAAATATACATGAAAATTACTAAAGGACCTTTGTGATCTTTCACTTTGTAATGAAATAAATCAAAGACTTGATAAATTCCAAGATTTCCAGGATTAAAAATTTTTTTACATAGTATTTAATCTATTACAAGACTAACTGCAGATAAATATAAAAATCTAATAAAAGTTATGATTTTTGTAATGGATAATATATGTGACAAAAGTATATAGAATACAGATATTAAAGAATTGCCAATAATTTATCAAGAATGGAATAAAAAATATATAATTAATAAATATAAGGAGTTTTCTGAAAGTGATTTAAAAAAATTTGAGATATGAAATAATTGTTTATTTAATATCTTAAAGTCTATATTTTAAATAAAGTTACTATTGATTTTTTATTTATGTTGATATTTTTAAAGTTTAACTGATATATAATGAAATGTTAATATTTGTTTAACTTATATATATTTAAACATATTTAAAAGCATGATTTAAATTTTATTTTTATTTCATTTTTCAAATTATTAATTATGATTACGGTTATATATTTTACAAAAACCTTTTAAAAAAATTATTTTTGTAAACCAAGTAAAATATTTTATCGAATAAGAACAAACATTTAAAAATTTTTTATTAAATTTAAGTATCCAAGATAATTTTTGATAAAAATTCGTGTAATTTAAAATTTTAATATTTTAATATACGGTCTATTGAATAAATTTTAATGACTTATTAAAACAATGGTTTTTTTTTATTAGAAAAAAATCGATGAACCCAATTTATCCAAATTTAATAAAAACCTCAAGACTAAAATTTGTTATGCGAAGCAAGTTTATTTAATATACAATAAATTGATTTATTTCAAAAAAAAATCCAATATATAATAACTATTTAAATGAATTATAATTATTCTTCGTAATTCAAATTGCCTAATTTATAAAAAACTTACTGTAAGACTAGATTAAATTTTATTTTATGATTCTTTTCATCGACTTAATGTGTCGCAATATACGATATTGATTTGCCCAAGTGTTCCTTGCTTTTTTTTTTGTTTCTATTTTTACCTTGTCGAAAAAAGAAAACTTTCTCGGCACACCAAGTATTGTGCACCTTAGTAATTGACATTTTATTTCTGCATCTTCACCGATTTTTCTATCTCGGATTGTCGAACTTATATACATTACAAATAATGTACATGATATCAAAAAATTATCATGTAATAACAGTATTGTTGATATTACAAAATCTGATTAGTTAGTCGAGCTGTTACAATTTGATGTGACTAAAAACGGCTAAAAAACCCCTAGTGTGTAAAGAATTCAACTTTAATAATACGCAAGATTTTAAATTATGTTCAGCAAAAATAATTATTATATGTTTAATGTATAATACACATGAAATAAATGTTGACAAATTTAAAGAACAATGCTTATAAATAATCTTTAGGCGATTTCCGGTTTGTTAATTTTTTTTCACACCTGTCCCACAATAAATAGTCCGCGCGATTCTTTGTTTATCCACTTTTGCAGGAAATATAAAAGTTCATGCAACATCTAAATAATATTATGTAATCCAGAGCACGGAATGTAGATTCGGCATTGTTATTCTGCACTTTTCGCGGATGTCCCAGCTGGATTATTTGGTGGCACGGTCTCTCGATCGACATGGGTTTTGCGATGAGGTGCCAACTTCCGACTCCGGAAATGCTCCTCATGCCGGCGTGATGGAATTTGCGATTTTGAATTGAAGTAAATACTATTTACAAGAACTCACAATCGGCTTGTAAAAAAAAGTGTTTAAAAAACTAAATTAAAGATAGCGGTTCAGGGTCGTCGTGGAAATAATGAAATGCGGCACCAATCCCTAATATCACTACAACAAATGCGAAACCGATTCCTAATATTGATACTACAAATTTCGAGAATATTCTAAGGTGATTATTATATCTCAGGAACCCTGAGTCGACGTTGATAACTAAACACTTTGTTAGGGTATTGCTAAGTTTGAATGCGTAACTCATCCGAAATGTGTGAATTCCAAGCATAAAGATCTTTGCCAATTCGATACCAGTGGTTAAGTTGTTGGAGAAATTCACCGATACTGGGAAACAATAGAAAAATATTATAATGATGCAGTACAGGAAAAATGATGTCAGATTTTGATTTTGCTCTGATTCACTGTCGTCTTTCGAATCGGTAGTTTCTTGTTCTTCACTCTCGACTTCAGAATCTTCTGATTTTATCCACCGTTCATCTAAGGTGAATTCTTTGCACGTTGCCAAAAGTTCTTCTAGGTCCCGAACAAAGTGTTCTCGGATGAATGAATCTGTAGATTTCTGTCTTTTAAAGATGTGATCATTTTTGGGGTATACAATCTTCTCTAAAAGTTTCATTGTCATATATGTCATGATGATCCATATGTTGGCATCTTCGGGAGTCAATTGTTTTCTTTTGCCGTTCGTGAATTGTTTGAAAGGATTGATCTCACTCCTTAAATAGGATTGTAGTGTGACTATATGTTCAAATCTATCGCCCAAATTGTAAATTATGGCAATTTCCTCTTCAACAATCGATCTAAATATTGATTTCCTATTAAATCTTTTCAACCATTGCAATGTGTTTTCCGGACGTGAAATGAATTCGGGCATCGAATGTAAAAAAACCGAATTTTCGTGATTTACGCTAAGAGTCTCCGAGACAGCGTCCGCCTTGTACTTTGCGTCTTCGTAAATTTTGAATTGCCAATATTTGGACACAAAATCTACTTGATCCAATAGTTGAGCAATGAGAAATCCCAAAAGGGATTCGGATTGAGCGGTTTTAAAGTCGACGTGATCGCGTTCATTGGGTGAGTTGTGGATATTCAATTGATGAGAAGTTTTTTGCGGAGAATTAAATCGCGACACGTTAAATCCTTTAGGAAGAAACTCTCGTGAACGAGTGGTGGTGGCATTTTTTCCAAATTCCAACGCGAAGCATAACTTTTGTATGTAGACCTTGATTTGCTCGAGGTCCTTTAAGGAAACATGCATGTAGCCTGTTTCCTCGAGAGGGTGGAGAATATTATGTGCAAATTTTACATACGGGAAGTATTGACTGAAAGAATATGGCTGATTAAACCACCTTTCAAAAGAATAATGATTGCTCTCGTTGGTGGTGTTTTCGATGTTTTCCATGACTTTATGATGAGACAAATGGTTGTAGCTTTTGTGATATCAAAAAAAGAGTTTTGTTAAAAATAATGGAAGGATAGAATTTTCGCAAAAAATATTCGGGTAATTTCGAATTCCAAAGCCTTTATATAATCGAATCATCTAAATACGAGGTATCGTCTGTGTATAAACATTAGGTTTTTTTAATGAGCATGCACGCAATGCATTTTCTTGTATTGTAAACTTTATAATTCGATTTACAGTTCAGCATAAGGTCATAAATAATGAATATTCTCGAACGAACATATTACCGATATTTATTATACTGTGGTTTAGCACATTCTTATTATTTTATGTCGTATTATAGTATTATCGTTAAGGTTTCCATTATTGACCAAAGTTTGTTGTATTATCGTTTTTAAGGTAAATTCTTCGGACAATACGCTCGTTGGTCCCGCAAAATTTATGGTATCATTAAAAGACATTAAAGTGAATGGTGCAAGAATACTTGTATCGTCTATATAATGTCTCTGTCAGATCTTTGAACGCGAATCACGATAATTACATAATAGCATGTATTGTATGATAACGCGTTATTACTGTAATTATCACGTGACAATATAGTATTTATTGACGTTAATTCTTATTGGCCCACAAGGTCTTATAATACGTATAGAGAAAATGAAAATTAAATAATGGAAAAGATTTATTAGCGAATTCTGATGACATAACACAAATCTGTTGTAAATTTTTCAAATCTTATTTACGAAATCTCGCAATGTAAATCACGTGTTAAATAAGTGGTTCGCGGATTCTAACCTACATACTGTATGTATAAGCATAATTGTCTCGTCCCACCTTCATTTTTTCACCAACTATTTTTAGATTATTATTTTACGATATATAGAAAATCTTCTTTCAAATATAATTGACCTTTTGACCGTGCTCTATATGAGATTATGACTGTATGTGCAGTAATTACATCTTGTTAAGATTTTTATTGGTTCCATTGAAGGTTAAGAATTTGATTTTTTTTTTTACCCGTATCAGCATTTACAGAAAGATTTTTTTTTCTTTAGCTGTTTAACTTAATCCCACATAATTTAATTTGACGGCCCATTCCATTCTATTTTAATACAAATTTTCTTTGGTTCCTCGCTAACATCAATTGTCGGCTTAATTTAATTTACCATAATCCTTCCCGAATTTCTTTTTATGTAACTGTTCCGAAATACGAAGTTGCAAAGTGGATTGGTGCATCTAATAAATCCACCTTTTGACTTTACGAATTCGGCCGAAACTCAACAATTTTTGAATGATTACGTACTAAGGTTACTTAATATTGTATTATGCAGGGTGTCATCTTGGCAGTGTACACAAGTTATTGTGTCAATGGCCAAAGTTTATGCGCGTTCCACATTAGGCCTGAATACATATTTTGATGTACTATGAAATTAAAAAGACACATGTACTATATATTCGTATATTTTGTGTACGTGCGTAGAAAAAGCCATTGAATTTATTTTCAAACCAATTGAATCGTGCAAATTAAATTGAACTTATATTTTCTTGTATTTTCAATACAAGCCTGTAAAGATACTCGACTTTTAAGAATGCCAAACAGCATTGCATTGTTGATATACTTTACAAATGGACTCGCATTTTTTTTTTGTTGTTGTTTTATAAGTATGACGAGTTTCTAAAATAAAAATTTACACACACTACGTACACACCCCTACCAAAAATTACCGGACGTCGATTAAATTACTTAGTAAAACATAGTAAAAATCAAAATTTTGTTCTATATTAAAGTTTATAATTTTATTAATAAAAAATTTTTTTAATATATCAAAATAAAAGGCAATTGATTGTATTTTATCATATATATGGAATAATATTTTTAAAATTTTTTTAAAAAATCACATTATATCATAAAGTAATAGATTTGCATTTTTTATATATAAATTTTTAAAATACATATAAAAAAATTTTTTGATTGATTCTATAAATATGTAGATTTTTATAGAAAGCTCAAAAAATTCTGTATTTAATATATATCAAACTACAATTGAATGACTTTGTTTTTATGTATTATTTATAAATCTTTGTTCATAAAATTAAAAACTTTAATATAGAACGAAAATCTTGATTTTTAATATATTTTACTAAGTAATTTGATCAATATCCAGTAATTTTTGATAAGGAAGTGTACACTGGGTGGACAAAAGTCTGCATCCAAAATGATTAACGTATAGTATAGTAGATACGGATTAAAAACTTTAAAGTAATAATTCTAGATAATCACTTAATAAATTGACGCAATATAAGTTTTATTTTATTTATTAAAGTAAAAGCTATCTATCTATATATATTAATATTATATTGGATAATCATTTGCTTTAACAGCTGCAATTCTACAAGGCATACTATCAACTAAATTAATTAAAATATTAGGTTCTATTAAATTCCATTCCTCCTTTAAAGCAATTATCAATTCAGTTTTATTTTTGGGATGGTTTGACCATACACAAACTTTTCTTTCTAAGACATCCCATAAATGTTCAATTAGATTAAAATCCAGACTTTGAGCAGGCCATGAAAATAACTGAATTAAATTATTTTTTTTTTCACTCTTTCACTTGTTTTGTTTTATATACAGGAGCATTATTATCTTGAAAGAAATATAAAGAATTATCAATAAAAGGTTTAAGATGATTTTCAAGAACTTTTAAATATCTTTGTCTATTAATTAAACCAGAAATCTCAATTAAAGGTCCAAGTGCATTTTGAGAAAAACAACCCCATACCATTATACCTTTTTCACCTGATTTTACAGTTGGTAAAATACAATCTACATCATATTTTTCATAGGGTTTTCACCAAACCCACTTATGTAAATCATTTTCAAATATTAAGTATTGAGATTTATTACTTCAAACAACTAATTGTTACTCAACAGTTCAATTTTTTTTTCATTGCACTATTTTAATCTTTTTTGTCTATTTTGTTTTAAAACAAAAGGTTTTCTAACTCCAGCTTGACATGATAATCTTGTTCATAAAGCATATAACGAATTGTCTTATCACTAACTAAAATAGTCATAGCAGTATTGAATTTTTTAGTAATTTGTTCTACAGCTTGTTAACAGTTTTTTTTAACAATTTTGATTACACGTCTAATTGCACAAGCACTTATAATTTTTGATCTACCTGACCATGAAGCAGTATTGACTCTTTCAAACTTCTTGTACCTATTAATTATACTTGTAACTGTTGTTTTTGATCAATTTAAGGTTTCTGCAATATTTTTGTAAGAAAAACCAGCCTTAAAAAGACCAATTATTTCACCATATTCAAAATCTATTAACTGAAAACCTTTTTTTAATTTTTGAGTATTTGACATTACAGTAAGAAATTTTTTTTAACTGTATATAAAAACTACAGCTTTTAGCTTTCTAACAACATAAATTATTTTTTATTTATTTCCGTATTCATTATACAATAATAATCTAAAGCCGGATAAAAAATTTGAAAAATTACCATTGATCATTTTGGACACAGTCTTTTGTTTACCCAGTATACATGAGTTTTATTAAAGCAGTTATTCTGTTTTAATGGATAGCAATATAAAAATATTGTAGATATCTAAACCTTGATGAAAAAATATTAATTTTAACAGCAAATGTTCTTGGTTGTCAAAATTTTTTTAATTGTAAAATTGAGTATACCAATATGTTATTAAAGTTTAGTAAGTTTAATTTCATAAAAATAAATTATTATTTTTATTATGTATAAATTAATATAACCAAAAAAAATTATAATAATAATTTCAATTGTCAAAAATCAAAAATAACAATTTAAGTAATAATAATTTTAATTTTATATAGTGTATAATATTTTTATAATATAAGAAATATATGAATATATTCATCATCAGTATTTTACTATCGTATTTAAAAAAAATCAATTGTGTTAATAATTAATATAATTTTAATTATATAAAAATTTTTAATGATTTAAGTATAAGAATATATATTGATCTGTTATTTATTATAATAGATATATAATATTTTTAAAAAATTCTAAAGCCAAAGAACTATTTGCATGTAAAATAATATAATTAAAAGGTAACTATAATATGTTTATGTTCATATTATATTGTTATATTATGATAATAAAAAGTAGTAAATCTGTTGCTTTCACACAAATATATTTGCAGCATATTCTACACAGCAACTAAATAGGTTCACTTTGTACTATTTAACTTTATAATTTATGTTGTTATTAATATTTTTTTGTCTTGTAATAAAAGAAACAATTGAATTTATCTATAGATTATATAAGAAAAAATATAAATAGAAAATAAAATATATAAAAATTTATATACAAATAAAGTTTATTCATTAATAAGTAAACTTGTTTACTATAATAAATACATCATTATTGCCTTTATTTAATAAAAGCTAAATATATATATATAGTATATATATTTTCTATTCTTTACAAATAAATACTAAATATATAATTTTATTAAGCATAAGTTTGTTACTATTATATTAACAATCTTTATACTTATATAAATTAATTGTAATCTATTGTGATTTTTATTATAATATTAACTTATATTTTATAAGTAAATCCATATCTTATTTGTATTATATCTTCTTACTTGTAAATATAAAATAAAAAAAATCTATTCAATAGTTAAGAAATCTTCCCAACAGTTTTTTTTTTTATTTATAACTTAATTTTTTTTTATAAATAGATTACCAATTCAAATTATATTAATATCAAATAAAATAATAAAGATTTACTTGAATTTTAAAATCTGTTAATCTAATTTGCAATACTAGTTAATTAGGTATAACTTTTTAAGAATTTAATCAATTTAAATAAAAAAGATAATACTATTAAGCCTGTTATATCAATTAAGGTTATAGGCTTTTATAAAAGTTAAATCAAAAGTTTTTATCTTATGTAATTTTTTTTACTTCAACTTGTTTTCAACCTATAATTATCAAAAAG